TGAAACAGAAAAGTGGTGAGAGAGATGGGAGGAGAGCCCTAGGGAGTATTTCAGACCTTGGTGGAAGAGTTTTGAAGAGGGAAAACTAAAATAGAATCAATTCAGATAGCCATTGGATTTGCTAGGAGGTCATTGGTGAACCGAGAGTGATATGAAGCAGCGGGTATGCATGCACTTAAAAAAAGAAAAAAAAGAAATTAGGTGGTAAATAGAAGATGGCAGTTTAAGAAAGAACTGGATTAAGGGAGGCTAAAACGGAAACTTAAAAAAGTGGTTATGGGGGACTTTTTACCCATGTTTGCTGGATGAAGGAAATGATTTTAGAATTTGATTCAGATAGCTTGTTTGGTCTCCGCTCTAAAGACACCTTCTTGTATGGCCCTGGACAAGTCACTCAGTGTTTTGTCAGCCTCTCAGTATTTCACAGGAACTCTGAAAGATGATAATATGTGAAAGAGGTTTGTCATCTAAACTATTACACAAATATTAGTTGGTAGTAAGCATATTGTTTATATAAATCATACCTTCTCATAAAATAATGTAAAGTATTATAGAACTACTAGTATGTAGAGCTGAAAGGTATGAGACAGAACGGGGAGGGGGAGGGAGAGAAAGAATATGAATGAATGAATAAAACATGGTCCCAGTTCAGAAGCTGTTATTCCTCTTAGCATGGCCATGTGACTGCGCAGGGAAGCTCTTCATGTTTATTGCATCAATATTTTGTCAGGGCCCTTGTTGATTTGCATCTATACAGTTTCACTTTCCTTTGGAATGAGAAAAAAGGAACACTGTAGAGAACATATATTGGTTAGCTTATTAAGATGACTTTTACTTGATGTTGTTGCAAAGTGTAGTGATAATACTAAATGTTTAATAGTAGCAGGTGCTGTCAGTTTATGTCACTGGTGTATGATTGATTTTAGCTTTGGCTCCAAAGCCAAGGCTTTTAGCCACAGTCTCAATCTAAAAGTCTTGGATCATATATTCTTATTGCTTTTTCAAGTTGGTAGACCTTGTACAGTGATTAAATACAATTTATTTTTGTATATTTCTGTTTCTTAGGTTAAACAGTGTCAGTTTCTACGCTTCATTTTAAGCAGCCTGGTGCTTTGAAGTATAAGAGGGAGAATAATAGTAATTACCTTGTAAGGTGATGGTGAAGATAAAATGAGCTTTAAAAATTTAGTAAACATTAATGGCTACAGTTATTAGTTCTTTATAAATACTTGATATATATGAGAAAACATCAATTGAATGGCTACTTCCACATAAAACATTTGTTGAAAAAATGTTGGGATTTAGTTTTGAATAAATTCAGAAAAGTAGTAAGTTTTCTTAACTACAGCTCAGATTCCATGCTGGTCTCCGTCGTGGGGATGGCACTGTACACGGGATACGTCTTCATGCCTCAGCACATTATGGCCATATTGCACTACTTTGAAATTGTACAATGACCAAGAGGAGACCGGAAACGAGAGGTTCCCTAGGGAAGAACCATCCTCTGAAGTTGGAATGAGACTTCATCAGATGTCAGAAGAAACTCGACTAGATGTCAGTGTGACCAACCTTATGAATATAAAGACTAAAATTCATGAGTATAACAGGAAAATAATCCTGACTCATGTGTTGTGTTCTTTATTTTTAATTTTAAAAGAGGCTCTTGTATAGTAGTTTTTGTCTATTTTAACATTGTAGTTATTTGTAATTTGATATCAGTATTTTCTTAACCTTTGTGACTTTAAATATTACCCTGTGAAAGCTTTTCTTAATGTCACTTTGGGTACATTTTAAATTGCCTTCTATTTCTAAAACCCAGAGTCATTAGTTGGGCTTTATTGTTCTTGCTATTGTATGGCATATACATCTGCCTGGATATATTTCTACTCTTGACCAAAGTTTTGTAAGAACTCGGGCAGGGGGTGGGGAGGGAGGGTATTTTATTGAGAACTATTTACAAAAGACTTATCTGTAAGTTTGAACTCAGGAGTACAGTTTTAGCTCTCTAAACTCTATAATAGCTTCTGCTTTAAAACTACTAAAGTGTTTCTTAACAATGAAAAAATAAGATCTTGCTAAAGTAAAAAATAAGGAACATTTCATCTTTTAAATATTAATTCTTATGTGGACTCATTTCCAGAAAACTTGGGGGTTATTATTGTGACAACAGGCGGTTAAGTAGCATTATTGTGTAATGCTTACATACCATGAAGTTTTTAATAGACAGTAAATCAGTTTCCTCTGAGAGTCATTACTTACAAGTACTTCTTTAAGTTTAATTTCTGATTGTAATGGGTGCTGTAAGTGCATTTGAACATTGCAATAAAATGTGATGAGATGAATTGTTAAAAGCTATATCAAAAAGAAGGGTAAACTTGGTTAAAATCCTTTCACTATTTGTATTATTTTTTTAAAAAAATACTTTTATTCCTTAAATGTAAAATGATTAATTTTTTTGATGTAAACTCATTAAATTCAAAGAGAAAAATCAGTTGCTGTGGCAATGTGTTTTTTCCTCTGTGGTTATATATTGATGTAGTATTTATATTCTGAATTGATTGCTGTGGACATATAAGCAATATTTTAACATGTTTCTCAACATAAAAGTATTGCTAATTTAAAAAATTAGATATATTATTATTTGTTAATCCTCACCCGAGGATATTTTTTTTTTAGATGAAAAGACATTTTATCATTATATTATTATATAACATAGTAGTGAATATATCTGATTGCATTTTCTCAAATGGCAAATGAGAACAGGACAGCATTTACTGAAAACCTCAATATCATCTGTCTTGGAGGATTCTGTTTCCTACGACGTGTATGATACTGTCCATAAGGAGACCAATGGTGCTTAGTAGTAAAGAACATTTTGCTAAGTTCTATCATGGGTCGTTGCTCCAAGTGTTCATCTTTTACTTTAATCTGGTTTTCAGTATTTGATCCTGTGTTTCTTCATAATTATGCACAGGATCTGGCCGAGGGATAGGCTTGGTGTGTTCATATGGAATATCCACAGAAGGATGGTAGCAAACTATCATCCTGCCATCAGATGTCAAAGCAAGTTCTACTTTGCAGTTAGAGTCATCTGGAAGAGAAGAGTATGTGGATTTATAACAAACACAGAATAAAGCTCCATTTTGGATTGGAAATAAATGTTTCAGAATAGTTCTGTTTGATATCGCCCATTTCACTGCTGATACGGCCATGGTGAATCAAGATGCTTTATCAGGTGGTATGGGAAAAGATTTGAAGAGAAAATGCTTTTAAAATTTGCTTCTAGGCATACCTATTTTCATCCCTTGACGTCTGCTCACCATAAGCCCACCATCTTCCTCCAGCCGGGTCCGAGGATATTTTTTCCATTGATTTTCAGAGAGAGTGGAAGGGAGTGGGGAGTGGGAAAAAGAGAAAGAGAGAGAAACATCGATGCAAGTGAGATAAATCAATCAGTTGCCTCCTGCACGTGCCTGGACCAGGGCCAGGATCAAACCTGCAACCCAGCTACATGCCCTTCATCAGGAATTGAACCTGAGACCCTTCAGTGCTTCAGCTGACACTCTAACCACTGAGCAACCCAGCCAGGGTTAGACATATATTTTAATATGCTTTCCAGAATAAATTTTACCATTTAAAAAAATGTAAGTATTGGCCCTAAATTTTTTAAAAATAATTTTTTACTGATTTCAGAGAGGAAAGGAAGGGAGGGAGAGAGAGAGACAGAAACAACAATGATGAGAGAGAATCATTGATTGGGTGCCTCTTGCATGCTCCACACTGGGACTGGGAATCGAACTGTGACCTCCTGGTTCATAGGTTGATGCTCAACCACTGAGCTACACTGGCTGGTCAAAAAATGTAAGTTTTTTTGGCCCTAAATTTTAAGGACTAGACTTGGGAAGTATTTTCTAGTCTGGAGGTAATGAGTAATGTATAAATTTTTGATATTTTTAAAGTGTCAATCTATATCATCACTATTAGGTAGGGATAGTGAGAGAAGAGAGAGATGTAATTATTTAGTTTTGAAGTAGTTAAAAATAGTTGGATATGGTTATGTCTGAGTTGTATTCATACTGTCTCAAGCAAAATAATGATTATGTAAAAACAAAGTAATAAATCAGGGAAGCGTAATCTCACCAGCTGATTCAAGTGTCTGCTTTATTTGTTAGCAAATAACAAACGGGGAGATAATTACACTTTATCTGTTTACTAGAGGCCTGGGGCATGAAATTTGTGTACTGGAGGGCGTGTCCCTCAGCCCAGCCTGCATCCTCTCCAA